GGTGAAATGAGAGATTATTTTAATATTAACCAAGATTATCAACACTTTATGTTACAGTGAGTTTAGTAAAAGCCTCCCAACATGTGTTAAAGCAAACAGAGCGAGAGAGAAACCAACAAACTGTTGTTGGAGATCTTCAGTTGAGTCACCCCACTTGGCAACAGTTTGATAGCCACTGCAAATATGTAAAGCGGTTGATGCAGTTTGCTTGGAATACCTCCTGACTGCTGAACCTGTGCTGCCAGCTTCCTCCATGCTATATTAGCTGTGCTGGTGGTAACAGGAGCAACGCCTCTGCTATGTAGAGTTATAAATGCAGAGCAACAATGAACTGAACAGGACTGAACCTGTGTCCAGTATCAGATTGTGCATCCATCGAATGTGAGCGCAGAGTTTCATAAGAGAAAACCCCCATAAAATATCAAAATATACATTTTTGAAAGTACAGACAGGGACAACGGGCACTTTTCACAGTTTTTAACATTTTAGCTGTTTGCACTTAAGAAGTTTACTCTTTTCCACGATTGGCTGATGGGCCAACATCAGCACAAGAGCACCCACAAACTCTCCTTCTCCTGGGAACAAACTAGGGATCTTTTGCTTGTTTGGCCTATGTGTGAACAACTACGTCAAAACTGAGCAAATGTTTATTTTTACTTTTCAGAAACGAGTACGGTTCAGGTTCACAAAGACTACAGAGTATGTGATAGGCCAGCTCGAATGTTGATTTTGTTGATTTTGACACATATCGGCTCAAATCTTTTGTCATATTTTTAAGAAGCTTTTTAGAGTTGGATCTGTACACTTACAAGATACAGAGTGGTCTAAAGAGCACTCTGCAGCTCTTATATGCATTCCATTACCAACTACAAACATCAGAAAGTACAATTAAAGAATGGCCACCTTCAGGCAGACTTCATGAACAAAGCGAGTGATTTAGTTTAAGTGGATGGTTGAGCAGGTTTGGCTGACTCTGTGGTTTATTTATCCACTGATCAAGCAGCTGCAAGACACCCCGAAACAACCCCGAGAGCCTGTGTTCTTTCATGCATGCAGAGCTGAGCGGGACGAGCAGCGAGTGTTTTCGAGTAGCCGCTTTCTCAGAAATGATAATCACGAGGAAATGTTGCAGCTGGCGCAGCTCGCTATGCAGGTGCAATAATGTATGCTTCTTAGCAGACGAATATCTTGATCTCTTCGGTGTAGTTCACGGTGCTGCTTGCCAGCGCTGTTCTCCTCACAAAGACAGCAAAGTGTTTCCTGCACTTGGACTCACCACGTCTCAAACAGAAAGAGACGCATCTGTTCCCAGACTCAGTCTCACTGCAAACAAACAGTGCACGAGCAGCTGCATGCAAGGCGTCGCACAATGTCTGCACACAAGACGCTGCAGATCCATGTTTACACAAGGTGCGTGTGTTTAATATCACACGGTCATAAATTATATAAATCCAGATGAAGATTGGGGTATTAAAAGCATTTACCTTTTGTTTACCTCTCCATTGTTCAGTGTGCTGTTTAATCTGTTCAAGACATAAACAGGAGAGAAAGTCTTAACATGTCAGCACCTTCATGAGTGATTAAATCTAAGAGGCGGGGTAATACCTCATGTCAAGTATGTTCTTCATGCAACCTGATCAGGGCCCTGCATTCAGATCAATTTAAAGGCTGCGTGTGCAGGCTAGCCGGGATTAGTTAGTGCTAGGGAACTGTGGCAACGTTTACAGAAATGAACTGTGCTGAACTTTTGCTCAACTGTGAGGTTCACATGGTTTTCAGATATACATTTGAGACTGTCAAAACATGTCAAATGTCTGCTCAAAAGTGTTTTAGCCACTTACTTTAGGCAAGGCAAGGCAAGGCAAGTTTATTTGTATAGCACAATTCAACAACAAGGTGATTCAAAGTGCTTTACAGAGACATTAGAAACAAAAACAAATAAAAAGCACGATTTAAAATTGATTAAAACAAGCAAACAAGCAAACTAACTAACTAATTAACAAACAAACAAACAAACAAACAAAACAGTATATAAAATCAAAACAGATAAAATCAGAACAGTAGATAAAATCAGTAGTTAAAATGTAAGTTTTGAAATTTAAGCTTAAGTGCGGATTTGGTGCTTTATTCAAATGCAGCTGAGAACAGGTGAGTCTTCAACCTGGATTTAAATAAATGAGTGTTTCAGCTGATCTGAGGCTTTCTGGGAGTTTGTTCCAGATATAAGGAGCATAAAAGCTGAATGCGGCTTCTCCGTGTCTGGTTCTGACTCTGGGAACTGATAAAAGACCGGATCCAGATGACCTGAGGGATCTGGAAGGTTCATACTGGGTCAGGAGGTCACTGATGTATTTTGGTCCTAAACCATTCAGAGCTTTATAGACCAGCATCAGAACTTTAAAGCCTATCCTCTGACAGACAGGCAGCCAGTGTAAAGACCTCAGAGCTGGACTGATGTGGTCCACTTTTTTGGTCTTAGTGAGGACTCGAGCAGCAGAGTTCTGAATGAGCTGTAGTTGTCTGACTGATTTTTTAGGTAGACCTGTAAAGATGCTGTTACAGTAATCAAGCCTACTAAAGATGAATGCATGGACTAGTTTTTCCAGGTCCTGTTGAGACATCAGATCTTTTATCCTTGATATATTCTTGAGGTGATAGTAAGCTGATTTTGTTATTGTCTTAATGTGTTTTTCTAAGTTTAGGTCTGCATCCATCACTACACCCAAATTTCTCTCCTGGTTTGTGGTTTTTAGGTGTATAGACTGAAGTTCTCTGGTGACCTGTAATCGTTAGCACTTGTACTGAGCATGCATGTCTATTACAAAGAACCAGAAGCAGTCAACCATCAAGCTCAGACTTTTTCCATGCTCATCATTGACTTTGCCCAGATTTGGGTGAACAAAAGTGCATCTTCAGTGACATTTTGCACTCGTTAGCTGATGTGATTTTAGCAAAATTCTCTGCTCTGTGATTCCAAAGTAAATTTTGGACTAATGCTTCCCAGGCTAATGATTCACTTGGCTCTGGTTT